CTTCCCTCACAGTCGTCCATCTCCACGCAACTGCGTCACCTCTTTGCTCTTAACAATGATGTTTTTTGTTCACAGATGTCAAGCATTGGCTGCCACTTCAACATCTACGAAAACGCGCAGAGCGACAACCCATGGGACTGGTTGGACACCCGTCCAACGGTAAGTGGGTTGTGCTGGGTCGTGTTGACTGTGATGATGATGATGATGATGATGATGATGATGATGATGATGATGATGATGATGATGATGATGATGATGATGATGATGTGTGGTCCAGTGTTGGTTAATTGCGTTGTTCGTCTTTGAGACACTTCCGGGTTGTCACAGCACTTCGCCTCTTCACGCTCAATCTGTGTGTGTGTGTGTGTGTGTGTGTGTGTGTGTGTGTGTGTGTGTGTGTGTGTGTCTTTGTGTGTGTGTGTGTGTTTGTGTGTGTTTGACGCGCTTCTGTGCTTGAACGACCATCACCACACAAACAACAGAAATCGTACAAGTACTCGAGGATCTTGCGTGGCAACAACAAACAATGCCCACGAGCACCGACATTGGTCAACGACTGCTGTTCTCTGTGCTTCTGTTGTCGCCCAAGGTATCCGTCCTCTTGGTTGATGGGCGAGACAGAAAACTCGAAAGTGGTGAGTCTCAACATCAACAGCCGTGTCATGTCACATCACTCAAGTCACGACCTGTTTCCGGTTTCATGTGCGTGCTGCTTGATCACTGCTGCATGAGCATTGTTACCGATGTCGTCTCACGTGTTGTACGCCGCACGCTTGCATGCGCCTGAACAGAAACAACGCCATTGCTGCATCTTTGAGGAGCCCAAGGACGAAGATGAGAGTGGGCGCCAAGGCCTGTCTCACAGTACCAACGGTGGTGGAAGACGCAAAAGCGTCAAGGCGGGTCGTGTGCACCACATCATATGCCGCTCAAAGGAGGAGGCGGAGATGCTCGCCATCATTGGCGTCAAAGTGCGGCACATCAAGCGCAACGCCGACATGGCCGAAAAGGCAAACAGCCTGGTGCGTGCGTGCGTGTGTGTGTGTGTGTGTGTGTGTGTGTGTGTGTGTGTGTGTGTGTGTGTACGTGTGTACGTGTGCGTTTGTACTTTGCACGCTCATTGCACTTCCAAGTACTCTGCGTGCCCATGACTTGTGCACGATCATTCACCTTCACCCTGACTTGACACGGATTAAGGCTTTTCACGCATCCTCACCACTCTCGTTTCCGCCATTTGCATTGCCTTGGGGCAGCGTTTTCTGCTGGAAGCCGTGATGCGCCTGACCAATAACATGCCTCCACAGCACGTCGGCTTCTCCTACCGCTCGCTGGACAACAATGATCGCCGTCTTGTGGAGCCGACAGGTGTCATGTACAACGACAAGCCCGTGTACTCTGTGCGCGGCTCGCTCGCGTCCTACTTCTACTTCAACAACGAGCAGTGGGTCATGGGCACAGGCACCATGGTCTCATGCTTCTGCACCAAGAGGCGCTTCAACCCCCACACTAACTTCACCCCATCCATGATTGTGGCGCAGCAGTGCGACAGCCCGCTCAACTTCGAAACCATCGGCTGGAACCCCCACAAGGTCAAAGAAGCTCATCCAGCCAGCGTTCGGCAACAGGAAGCTGAAACCATCTTCACACTTTCCGCAAGTCTTCGTGCACCTGTGCTGACGGCCCAGGACCGCATGGCCTTCCCCAATCTCAAGACGCCACTGGTGACGCGCGAGCCCAAAGCTGAGCCGCAGCCTGAAATCACACCATCTTCTGACGCCCAGCAGCAGCAGCAGCAGCAGCAGCAGCAGCAGCAGCAGCAGCGCGATGCTGGCGAGTCCGACGCTGGGTGTATGGGCTTTTTCCGATGCCTCACTCGTATCTGCTGTTTCCCGTTGTGCTGTTGTTGCTGTTGCAACCGGGACTCAAACAAGTTCGTGGTGGACCCTTCCTCCAGCCCAGACTTCTACGACTTCGTCCTCCACGCGAACGTCACAGTGAAGCTGCCGGAACTGCTGCAGCGTCTCGCCCAGCTGTGCGAAGACCCACTCCTTGCTGACAACATGTGCACACGTAGTCAGCCGGACCAGAAGACGCCACTACGAGAGTTGGTGGACAAGCTGTCGTGGCGCAAGCCGCCCATGGCAGAGCCAATCACTGCCAGCGTTCTCGCCGTCATCGACGAGGTGACCGCGCACGCCGCCTTTGAGAAGCAGCTCGCCACGGAGCAAGGCCTCAGTGGTTTCCAGGACAACGAGTTCGCCGTCTTGAAGCAGCACGAGTTGGAGGCCAAAATCTTGCGCCACCGCAAGGGTCACGATGAGGATGTGGTCAAGGGCGCCATTGAAAAGGTGCGGATGCACCTCAGCCGCGACATTCTCCCCGCCATGATCCGCCTCCTGCACAGCGTCGTGGCAAAGGGCGAGGAGTGGCAGTTTGCGTCCGTAAGCTTCGCCGGCATCCCTAACGACGACAACCACCCAGGCCACCTCAGCCATGGTTTCTTCAACCGCTGCTTGCAGAACACCAACGGACGACGCATGTACCACAACTCGCTCATCCACCGCACCATTTACTGGACGGGGCAGCGCTGGGAGGTGACGAGCGACGTGAACAACAAGGAGCAGGTGGAGGCATACTCGAAAGACGACGTCATGTCCCCAGACGCTGCCACCAGCTGGTTCGTGTATGTCACCAAGAGGACTGAGGGCGAGTTGACCAAGGGCTTTCAGGAAATGGAGCGCGTTCGCGTCGTGGAGCCAGACACAGGTACGACGGTGATGTCGTGCGTGTGTGTGTGTGTGTGTGTGTGTGCGTGCATGTGCATGTGTGTGTGTGTGTGTGTGTGTGTGTGTGTGTGTGTGTGTGTGTGTGTGTGTGTGTGTGGGTTAGGCTGGCATGGGACTCGCCTAGGTGCGTTATGAGGTGCAATTTAAACGTTCGATCGCTCACATCTTACATACACACACCACGTCGCAACGCACACAACACACAACACACACACACACACACACACACACACACACACACACACACACACACACACACACACACACACACACACACACACACACACACACACACACACACACACACACACACAGGCATGCGCTCGCGCTACACGGGTGCGCTGATCAACAGTGTTGTGGACATGATGCGAGCCGTCGACCTGTGCGTCACGCAGGGGTCCGATGTCATCCTCAACCTGAAAGGGTTGCTCCAGCACGCGGTGCGCCTCGTGCGCATGGGCGGGGACGCTTCCTTCGCCGACACCAGCTTGCTCACACTTTGTGGCCTCGTGTGCAAGCTCTCCCCAAAGATGGAGGGCGTGCACGACGTGATGGTGGAGTGCCTGCGCCACAACTACTTTGACGCCTTCGTGCAGGGGTTCTACCACACCTCCCGAACCACCATCGGCAAGCTGCCCAAGTCCTCAAGCACAGACAGCTTCGACCACAGCACGTACCCCTTTTACCAGTTCCTTGAGCACATCTTTGCCGCACGCAACCTTCTGTACGGGCTGAGGTTCCGCCTGCGTAGTGGCGCCCTTGTCCCGCATACGTTCAACGGCGCCGTGGGTCAATTCTCCAAGGACCAAGTGCTGCAGATGTACGAGACGGGGCTTGATCGCTTGCATGGCCTCATCGCCAAGTACGTTGCGTTCCGCATGTTCTGCCTCTTCCTCGACGCCTTTGGTCGGTTGGGCGATGTCGTGCGTCAGGGCACTGAGGACTTGCTGGAGGCAGGGCGACACGAGAACAAGCAGCTCGTGCGTGACAGCAAGGATGCCAGGCACAGCAGCAAGGATGGCGAAGATGGCAGAAAGAATGGCGACGATGGCAAAGACAGCAAGAAAGGCAACGATGGCAAAGACAGCAAGGTCGAGGAAAAGGATTTCATAGACATCGACACAGAACGGAAGGAGGATTGGGTGGAGTGCCTAAGCCAGGGGGTGTCACAGCTGGTCAAGTCCCCTGACTCTGTAGAGGTGTTTGCCCGCGACCTTCCGTACGCCGCGGCAGAACTCACACTTGTTGTTGAGGAGGCGGTGACCAACACCATCAGCCAGACCGCGAAGCCCTTCCAGCACCGCATCTCCCAGCACGTGATCAATCTGCTTGCCAACATCACGGAGCACGCCGTTGAGCGCGTGTCGAGCCAAGAGGAAGAGAATGAGGAGGAGGTGGTGGAGGAGGAGAAGGGTGGGCCGAGCAAGGAGGAGAAAGAGAAGAAGAAGGGTGAGCCGATTCAAGACGCGCAGAAGAAGAAGAGGAGGCTCAAGCCCAGGGCGGGTGCGAAGAAGAAGAAGAATAAGGACGTCCGGCAGACCAAGGAGGACAAGAAGAACAAAATGAAGCAACGCGCTTCTGAGCCAAGCATGGAGGAAGAGAAGAAGAAGAAGAAGCAGGAGGAGGAGGAGGAAGAGAAGAAGAAGAAGCAGGAGGAGGAGGAGGAAGAGAAGAAGAAGAAGCAGGAGGAGGAGGAAAAGAAGAAGAAGCAGGAGGAGAAAAGAGAGTACCAGCGCAAGGTGGAGCTTGTCTCCTCCGTCATCTTCCAAGCCAACCCCGTGCCCGTGCTCGTGTCCCTGCTGCGAGGTCAGAAGCAGGACAGCAACGTCTTCCGCACCACGGCCCGGCTCAGCACCCAGATGGACTGGTTCACAAGCGCCCTTCGTGCCCTGGCCAACCTGGCCAAGTCGAAGAAGGAGCACCGCCTGCGCATCGTGCACGAGGGCCTCACCCCTGTCCTCCTCCGCTTCCTCATTGTCGGAAACCTCAAGCTGCGGCACAACGCCACGCGCTGCCTCATTGAGACGCTCCAGTTCACGCAGGAGAGCGTGGAGCAGTTTGTCAAGGAGGAGGGCCACCTCACCGTGCTGCGCCTGGCCAAGGAGGCGACGAACAAGGCCATCACCAGCGTGGACACAAGCCTCGAAGGCGCCCTCTTCAGCGTGCTTGGCGCCGTGTGCTCTGTGCCCGCGGGCGCCAACGCCCTGGTGGACGAGCCAGACTTTATGGAGCTGCTCTCCAACGCTGCACTCGAGCAAAAGGAGCTGTACACGTCCGGTGGCGGTCTCAGCGGCGCGCGCCTCAACATGTGCGACAAGGTCAACCTGCTCTTCCTCCTGCTCACGGAGTTGGAGATTTCCGACAACCTTGAGGGCGTGCAAGCACAACTGTCAGGCCTGAAGGGTGAGCTGAAGGAGTCGTGCGAGTTCCAGAACAGGCTGAAAAACGTGCTGGTCAAGATTGGGGAGGTCAAGCCTGAGGGGGGCGACGACACGGGGAACGCCGATGCTAATAGCGCACAAGATGAGGCCGTCGACATGGGCCAGAACGATCCAGATTGGCAGCCAGAGCACGAGAGCGACCGTGATGAGCTTCAGGCGGGCGAGCTCTTGTCGTGTGACGGCGTTCCCTTGCGGAAGGACGAGACGTATGTGTACCAGCTGGCCACACTGGCCAATCTGTGTGACATGGGCGAAGAGCATGAAACGAAGGACGGGAACGACAAGAAGGAAGAGAAGGGGGAGAACGGAGAGAAGGAAGGGAAGGGGAAGGCCATGTGTTTCTTGTCTTACTCTTGGAGTCACAAGAGGCGCTTCCAGAAGCTTGATACGTATCTCGAGAACACTGGCTTGAAAGTCTGGCGCGACGAGAACGAGATTTTCAAGGTACGTGTGTGCGCGTGTGCGCGCGTCTGTGTGAATACGTTTACATGTGTGTGTGTGCGGGCGCGTGTTATGTACTCTTTGTGCTCGTGAGTATGTGTATGTGTATGTGTAAGCGTGTGTGTGTGTGTGCGTGCGTCGCACGGTGCTGTGAATTGTGCGCTCTCACCTCAATCTCACATCAAGTCACATTATTCGTTGACTTGGCTTGCGAGTGCAGAAAGCCAGCATGCTTGAGAGCATGGCCGGTGGCATCCATGGGTCTGCGTGCGTGATTATTGACTACTCGCCAGAGTATGCCAAGTCGCACAACTGCCGTGCCGAGTTACACTATGCCAATAAACTGCGCAAGCCGCTCTTCTTCGTCAAGACGACGCGCAAGAATGTATGTTCTTTGTCATCGCTTGTGCGTTGCATCCTGATCCTGATAACCAATGCACTGCGTCTAGGGCTAGCTTGATGCTCCACATGTCAACAGGAACTCACATTGTACTTCAACACACACATGCACACACACACTCACACACACATACACACACACACACACATACGTGCGCAGCCACCGCCTGCGTCAGCGCTTGACTTTATTCAAGCCGGACACTTGTACGTGGACTACTCCAAGGTCAGTTCGACCAAAAGTGTCAAGAATCTCAACAAACAGCTGCGCAAGCAGATAGGGGCACGTCTCAAGCTCCCACCATTCAAGGACGACGCAGCAGATGCTGACGAGGACGAGGAAGAGGAAAAGGACGCCCTAAATACCTTCCTCTATTTGGCCGGTGTCGCCAAGTACTCGCGCGAAGCGCTTTCCGATCACGGCGTCACTTACCCGCTGCTCAAGTCGCTGTCGCGCGAGGACCTGCGCCACACGGGCGTGCTGATGAGCGACATCGTGAAGATAGAAACGTCAATTAACGAGTGGATGTCACGATTCAATGAACAGGTTGCAGAATGTCTGTTGAAGATTGGTATTCGGCATCCCAACACTGTGGATGTCATTGCTCGGCTCAAGATCAGCACACCCGAGGAGCTCAGGCGTTCGAAGCTCATGTGGTTGCGTTCCAAAGGGGTCGACGAGGAAGATGCCGAACGCATTGTTGACTTCTTCAAGCCAAAAGAGCAAAGCAAGCAAGGCCCCCCGCAACAGGCGTCCTCTGCTCCCTCGAATCCCAGCACTAGGCAGTCAAAGGTGCAAGTGTCCACCTCGTCAATGCAACAGCAGCAACAGCGTGGGCATGCACAACCACCGCCACCATATCGCTCGGCACGTTCAACCATGGAGCGTCCTCTACCACCCACGCCAAGCATGGAACCAGTCACAGCCCTCGAGCAGGCGTCATCCTCCAGTATGCACCCAGAACTGTTTTTCGACAGTCCTCCACCAGTACCGCCACGCCGTATCACACAACACCAAGGTGTGTGGGCGTGTGCATGAATAGAGAAAAGGGCGTGTACGGGTGTGTGAGTACGTGTGTGTGAGTGTGTGAGTGTGTGCGTGCGTGCACGAGTGTTTCTGTGCGTGTATGTGTGGGTGTATATGTGTGCGTGTGAGTGTATTCGAGTGAGCGAGTGGGAGCAATAGCAACGCCTTCCTCCTTCATTTCACTGGAGCTGTGCTGTCACTCACGGTGTGATTCACTCACCGACAACAGATGGCTTTGGATTTGACGGGGCCGTTTTCGACGTGGATGAGCCTTGAAGCCACGACGAGTTACTTGTGTTTCATGCTGCCTCGACCAACGCTTCATTCCCCCTTCTGTCTTTCACTCGCTGACTTTTGTTCCATCCCTGATCTTTGTTCATTTCACATCCAACTTCTTACAACCGCACCCATGCACGCGCCCACTTCACCCACTCACTTCGCCCTCTCACCTTCCTCACCACAACCAACGCTTTGCGAGCATGTTGGCCCCGTGTTTGTCTTCGTTTGCACGTGTTGAACCTTTCTCCTGTCCTGCAACAAGAAGCACCGCACCAGCTGAGCGACGACCGCCAAGCCGCTGCTATTGCCACTTGTTGCTGAACCCATTTCTCTTTCATTGCTCTGTTCTCACTCTCATGCCGTTGGTGCGGGATGTGTGTTGTCGTTGTGGTGATGTGTAGTGACGTTCATTCGCATCCAATCACACTGGCACCCGTTTCTTTCGTTCGTTACAGCCACAGCCACACACACACACATGCCTTATTGAGTTGTCACACCCCATCCCAAAACACAGAGAGCCAAAGTTAAGCTGTGAACGAGCAACAACGACGTTGACGTTACACTCAGTGGAGTGAAAGTGGGGTGGGCGACAGGGAAAAGGTGTGTGCCTGTGTGTCTCCATGTATGAGAGAGAGAGAGAGAGTGTGTGTGTGTGTGTAGGTGATGCGAAGGCTTCACACTGCCACACACTGCCACACACACACACACACACACACACACACACACACACACACACACACACACACACACACACACACACACACATCGTGTGATTCAAGTTTCCCGGTTTTGATGCGCGTTGGTCCTTCGGTCGAATTCGTATGCTGCATTTATTTGTCCTTCACCAACCTTCGCCCCATTCAGTTTTGAAGCTTCCGTTATCGCGGTCAAACACATCCTGGTAATCCCAGGAATCTATGTTTCTGCGTATGACCAAGTCATCAGCAGAATGCAAGCACGCCCAAACACCCGAGGCAACCTCGGCCAAGAAGGCAAAGGTTTAGTTGAGCAACGGCACGCAAGTGCGACCCATTCGCCACCCCACTTGTATGTGGTTGGACGTTGTTGCTTGCTCGCTGGCTGGCTTGCGTGCTGCAACTTCTATGCACGCGCAACAGCCAGCAATAGCACTCGAGAACGGTGCGACATGCGACATGAGACCACCCCAGCACTCCATCCACTGGCCTCCCGCAAAGTTCTTCACCTCCTCTGCTTGCTTGCGAGCATCTGCACTGGTTTCCATTTTCCACTCACGGCAAGCCACCGCAAACAACACCAGCCCAAAACGCGCAAGCACAGCCGACCGCACAGCAAGCAGCCAGGTGAGGGGAGACACAACGATGATATCGCCGCTTTGCAGACGCATGTTGGCGACAGCAGTGGCCATTGCTCTGTTTCTGTGCCTGCTGGTGGTTGTGGGCAAAGCAGGAAAGGCTGGAGTCACCAGAGACGACCTTGGTGCACTGCACATCAACACCACAGATCCCATCAACGAGCCTGTGCTTGTGAACGGGGTGGATGTGCACAGGGAACTATCGACACTGCTAAGCGTGGATGAGGTGCACACGAGCAGCTTGGAAGCGCAGAAGGGCGTGAACGATGCTTTGGTGAGCACTGTGAGCACACAGGCGAGCACGTTGGAAGCACAGCAGAGCGTGGATCAAGTCCTGATGAGCCGCATCGAATCGCAGACGAACGTGAACGACGCGCAAGCATACATGTTGGACGCTCACAAGAGCAGGCTGGACGCACAACAGAGCATGAATGAAGCACTGGCCAGCTCGTTGGCCGCTCAATCGAGCATGTTGGAAGCACAGCAAATCATGAACGAAGCACTCGAGCGCAAACTCAGGCAGCAGGAGCGACAACTGTGCCCACTGCTCAACCCGCCTTCAACGGACATCACCACCCTCGCCAACATCGGGAGCGGAACCGAAAAATGGCGCGGAGGGGTGTTGGGTGGCAGCAACCTTATCTACGGCATTCCATACCATGCCACATCCGTCCTCATCATCGACCCAGCTACCAACACTGTGGACACAACCACCCTCTCAGGCCTCAGTTCCTTCGGAAGCAAATGGGGAGGCGGCGTCCTCGCAAACGAGCTCATCTTCGGCTTTCCACATCACGCTTCTTCTGTCCTTGTGATCGATCCGCTTTCAAACACGTTGGAGTTCATCGGTGGCGTGCCTACTGGCGGGGACAAGTGGATCAGCGGCGTGGCAGCAGACAACGGCCTTATCTACGGCATTCCTTGGCGTGCAGGCTCTGTGCTCATCATCGACCCTGTCGCTCGTGTCGTTGACACCACAACCATGACTGGATTTGGAGACGAAGTTGACAAGTGGTATGGCGGCGTACAAGCAGACAACGGTCTCATTTATTGCGGGCCAGACAACGCGGAAGCGGTCCTGATCATCGATCCAGTCACCAACACAGCCGACATCACGTCCATTTCCGGCTTGTACGGGAGTTTGAAGTGGCATGGCACTGTGCTGGCCAAGAATGGCCTCATTTACGGCATCCCAGTGAGCGCCACATCCGTCCTCATCATCGACCCAGCCACCAACACAGCTGACACGACGTCCATCTCCAGGGTCCCGAGCGGTGGTGACAAGTGGCGCGGCGGTGTTCTGGCGCCAAATGGGCGGATCATTGGCATCCCCTACTCTTCCACTTCCGTGCTCATCATTGACCCTGTCGCCAACACAACAGACACCACATCATTGCCGATTCCAAGTGGCAGTCGCAAGTGGTGGGATGGGGTGCTTGCAGACAACGGCCTGGTCTATGGCATACCGCACGACTCTCAAAGTGTTCTTGTGATTCACCCCAGTTGCTGAATCCACACGCCAATCCTCCATCCTGTCACTGTGTTTCCAACTTCTTCAGCAACATACATCATCTCCCTGTATGCTGCTGTTGTTGTTGCTGCTGCTGACAGTCTCACTCATGGTCGGTCTCCTTCCCTTCGTGTGTCATCTTGTCTTGTTCGGTCTTGTACTTGCCATGGCAACATCATCGGTACCCCGTACCACTCATCGTCCGTGCTTCTCTTCGACCCAACCACAAACACCACTGACACGACCACCATCAACAACCTTACCGGCTCCTTCAAGTGGTGGGATGGAGTTCTAGCCAACAATGGCCTCGTTTACGGCATTCCACGCAACGCAGACGCTGTGCTGGCCATTGACCCAAGCTGCTGAGCCTACCCGCTTGCTTCTTCTGTGTGCCACTGCTCATTGGGACAAAGGCGGAGTCCATTTCAACTCCAGACCTTGACTGTTCTACTGTTGCCTGCCTTGTTGAAATCTGCCCCGTTCACCCGAAAGGCTTTGCCGTGCATCGTGTTTGCTACCTTCGAAGTCACCCCCCCCCCCCAACTGCTGCACTTCCCTTTTGTTCACTCGCGCGTCTGTTTCCCCGTTCCTTTCATCGCCTGCAATGCGCCCGTCTTCGTTTCTTCGCGCTTTCCATCACGTCAACCTCATTGAGAAGTACAATGTTCCCAGCTGTCTTCTTCATCACCATCATCATCGTCAGCGCCCAACATGCCGAGCCACTTGGCGGTGCTTGGCCCCGTTGCGCCCTGTCGCATTGGCGAGAATGTGGTGGTGGTTGGCTTTCACCGCAACAGCGTGCCCATTGTCCGTGGCGGGCGCCTGAAGACGAGCATGCGCCTCAAGGTGCTGTCCTCCGCCACGGAGCTGGATGTCGTCGGCAACAACGCGTCGACACAGCTGCTGTCGCGCCTCGATGCACGCGGCTCTGACGGTGGCAGGGGCTTGCTGTCCCTGCTTGGCTTCCACCTCGCCTCCTCCCTCATCAAGGCGCAGTCGACATCATACTTCCGCTCCGCCCACACCCACGACAACCTCCTCACCTTCCTCCTGGGCCACTTCCAGCTCGCACACATGAGCACCAGCATACGCAGCACCACCACCACCACCACCACGATTACGCCTGCGTCGCCCAACGCACCCCCACCACCGCCACCATCATCTTCATCATCAAACAGTGACGACAGCAGCAGCAGCAGCAGTGGTCGGCGCCGACGCCTTGTGCTGGACGAGGACAAGTGGGCCTACACAGCGCTGTATGTGGAGGTGCGCGTGTACGATACACTCGACGGGCAGGCGCAGGGCGGCCTGTCCGCCAACGTCACGCTGGCACAGGGCACCGGTGGTATTGTTGAGCACGACATGCACGCCACCCTCGGCGCCGCGCTGTCGTTCCGCGGGAAGCTGCAGGCGAGCGTGGCCGGCGCTGTCGACTTCAACGACAACGACAAGACGATGAGCATTGCAGGCGAGGTGGAGACGCCCCAGTACCCGGCGGCGTGGGTCGCGGTGGACACGTGGTGGACGTGGTGGGAGGACGGTGACGCGCTGCACATCAACACCACGCACACGACCACATTTATGGAGAGCGGTGACCAGGCGAGCGGGCTGCTGCGCATCCAGGCTGACAAGGCAAGCAACGAGCTGATTGTGCACCACACGATGACGAGTGACCGCGGGTTTGACACGACGATGCAGGTGCTGCGCGCCAACGCATCTACCCGCGACACGCGCGACTACCACATCCTGGAGGTGACGGTGAGCGAGGCCGCGGTGGCGGTGGACGAGGAGAGCAAGCTTGCGCTGGACGAGTGGCGTGGCATGTTGCTGCAGGTGGCACGCGCCAACAGCAGCAGCGGCGCGCACGCCATCCTCATGACCATCGACGCCGACCTGTCTGGCGTGGCGCTGGGCGGACCAACCACGTTCACCACGCAGCTGTGGTCGGACGACGGCAGCACCATCGTCATGGACGCGGAGCTGAGCGGCGGCACCAACGCCCTCCTCACGTGGCACTCCAACGTCACCACCAGCGACACGCCCCAGTATGACGTCATCGACTTTGACGTGACGCAGCTCGGCCTGTACGCGGACGGCGACCCCATCGTGGCCGTGGACACGTGGCACCGTTTCCGTGTGATGACGGTCAAGGGCGGCGTGTTTGACGTGGGCACGCGCGAGCTGGTGGTGTCTGTGCTGGTTGACTTTGAGGGCAGCGCACTGCCGCAGGACGCCGCCACGCTCATCGCTGATGTCAGCGGCAACGGTGAAGTGATTGACATTGACGTTGCTGCCGTGGGCGACAACACGCTCAACATGACGTGGCACTCCAACGCCACGGCGGCGGAGGACGCAGACTACGACATTTTCCTCTTTGAGCTCCCGCGTGCCGGTCTGTACTGGAACGACGATGCCTTCTTTGCGGTCGACACCTGGCACCAGTTTGTCATCAAGAGCCTCAAGTCGGGTGGTGGTGGTGCTGGTGACGACCTGAACGACTTTGAGGCGTGGGTGCTGTTTGACATGGAGGTTGGCGATGAGGTCGCTGCGATCAGCTTTGGTGCGTGGTACAACGACGGCGTGGTGTCGCTCAACACGTCGTGGGCAGGCACGGACGCGCTGCTGTTTGCACTGCACGTCAACGCCACCAGCACAGAAGATGCAGACTACGACATCTTCCTCCTGGACATGCCGCGTGCCGGCTTCTACTGGAACGACGACGCCGTGTTTGCCGTCGACACCTGGCATCAGTTTGTCATCAAGAGCCTCAAGTCGGGTGGTGGTGCTGGTGACGACCTGAACGACTTTGAGGCGTGGGTGCTGTTTGACATGGAGGTTGGCGATGAGGTCGCTGCGATCAGCTTTGGTGCGTGGTACAACGACGGCGTGGTGTCGCTCAACACGTCGTGGGCAGGCACGGACGCGCTGCTGTTTGCACTGCACGTCAACGCCACCAGCACAGAAGATGCAGACTACGACATCTTCCTCCTGGAGCTCCCGCGTGCCGGCTTCTACTGGAACGACGACGCCGTGTTTGCCGTCGACACCTGGCATCAGTTTGTCATCAAGTCTGTCAAAGTTGACACTGACGACCTCAACGACTTTGAGGCGTGGGTGCTGTTTGACATGGAGATTGGCGATGAGGTTGGCACAATCACCTTCGAGGAATGGTACAACAACGACGTCCTCTCTTTCAACCTCTCATGGGCCGGTGTGGACACACTGCTGTTGACCGTGCACGCCAACGCCACCAGCACAGAAGATGCAGACTACGACATCTTCCTCCTGGACATGCCGCGTGCCGGCTTCTACTGGAACGATGATGCCTTCTTTGCGGTGACAGACTGGAGCGAGGGCACGATCAAGACCCTCAAAGCCGGCAGCAGTGCTGCGCTGAACGACTTTGAGGCGTGGGTGCTGTTTGACATGGAGGTTGGCGATGAGGTTGGCACTTTTGCATTTGAGGAATGGTACAACGGCGGTGTTCTGTCGTTCAACTCATCGTGGGCTGGCACGGACACAGTGCTGTGCACCGTACACGCCAACGCCACCAGCACGGAGAACGCAGACTACGACATCTATCTCCTCGACATGCCACGTGCCGGCGTCTACCGCAACGGCGATGCCGTGTTTGCTGTCAAGGACTGGGACCACTTTGAGGTGTGGTCGGTGAAGAGCGGAGGCACACCCTCGCCCAACGACGTGGTTGCGTCGTTCCTGGTCACGCTGGAGGGCGACCTGGTGCCCAAGGGCGAGATGAGCGAGGATTTCCACATGGCATCGCGCGACAACAGCTTCAACATGACGTCCACTGTTGGGTTCCCCGCATCCTCGGTCACCCTCGTTGTGATGCGACAGGAGGTGGACAGCCACAACTACGTCACCTTTGATGTCACCCGTCACCTGCACGGGATTGCTGTGCCGGAGGCGTTGGAGGACTGGCACGCGGACCTGGCCCTGAACCTGTACGACGATGGCCTGGGCAACTGCCACTTTGCCAACGTGACCGATTTCGTGTTCACGCATGACCTCACGCGCGTATTTGTTGTGCACCCGCACTCGCTGCTGCACCTCTGCGATGACACGCGCACGCTCGGGATTGACCTGCTGTTTGGCGTGACCACGCTTGGTGGCGCAGGTGGTGACGCCGGTGCTGTGGCCATGGTGCTGGACGCAGACTTTGATGACGCAGACAGCAGTGGTGGCGGTGGTGGTGGCGATGACTTGCGTGCAAGCATTTCGCTTGGCCACTCGATGGTGCGACGCCCGGAGGAGGGGCCCGTGCAGGCGTGCGGTGTCCTGACGGGCGATGGGGATGGCGTGGATGCAACGGTGGAGGTGTGCGAGTATGTGACAGACTCGTCCGAGGCTGAGGTCGCGGACGGCAGCGCGCGTCTGTTCTTCCAGGAGACGATGGGCATCGAGAGCACGGGCATGAACATGACGTGGTCGCTCTCGGGCCTCCTGTTTGCCACCTCGGCTGGCTCAACCTTGCCAACCGTGCCCACCATCTCCACGACATCGTCATCGTCATCGTCATCGTCATCGTCATCGTCATCACCAGCATCCTCCTCGTCGTCAATGTCAACCAGCTCCTCTTCCACTTCGACGGCTCCGATTGCGACGAGCAACGAGACAACGACACCGCCAATCTTCACTAGCAGCAGCAGCAGCAGCAGCAGCAGCAGCAGCAGCAGCAGCAGCGGGCCGACTACAACCACAACTACAACAACGGAGGCCGAGACGACTGTCGCAACGACGACCACCGCCACGACCACAACGACGCCCAACTGTCGCAACGACGACCACCGCCACGACCACAACGACGACCAAGAAGAAGCTGCGTGCGGTGAAGCTCAAGTTTGTGTTCCTGAAGGATTTCAGCGAGTGGACGACGGAGGCCGAGAACGGCACGGACAGCGACGAGTACAAGGCGCGCTACGATCTCTGGCAGGACCTCCTCAACAAGGGGTGAGCTGAAAGGGGGGAGGAGGGGTTGTGTGTGCATGCGTGCGTGTGCGCGTGGGTGGGTGTGCGTGTGGGTACGGGTGTGCGTGTGCGTGTGCGTGTGTGGGTACGGGTGTGCGTGTGCGTGTGCGTGCAACTTTTGTTCCGTTTGGGGCACACTTTGACACTGTGTGTGTGTGTGTGTGTGTTTGCTTGATTGATTGTGTGTTTTCAGGCTGCTCGACCTGCTGTTGTCGCAAGTGATCAGCGAGGGCGCGCAGGAAGGCAGTGTCGTGTGGAATGCGCGCGTTGAGGATCGTGAGAAGGAGGACGTGGACGTCATCAAGACATCCGTCATGAAGCAAGGCGTCACATTCGCCTCTCTCGGCCAAGGAACCGTCCAAGGCGGTGAGTGTGCTGTGTGTGCGTGTTGTGTGTGTATGTGTGTGTCTGTGTGTGTGCACGTGTGTGTGTGCACGTGTGTGTGCGTGTGCGCGCGCTACGTGCACCGAGGCAAACTTGCTCACAGGCCGACGTTCTGTCCGTGTGTTTGTTTCGGCAACAGACGTTGTGGATGACGACGGCAGCGACGACACTGGTACGTTGTGATGCGGCCTGCGCAGGCGTGTTTGGGCTCGCCTTAATTGCGGCACGTGTCATGCAGCGCATCATCACGCGCCACTTACACCCCCCCCCCCACACACACACACACACACACGCACACACACACACACACACACACACACACACACACACACACATCCGCAGGTGTGATTGTTGGAGCGGTGCTCGGCACGATTGCCGGCGTTGCGCTGATTGCGCTCATCTTTGTCCTCTACAACCGACGCGGGCAGCGCGAAGAGGAAGAGGCCGCCGAGAAGAAGCACGAAGAGGAGCTGAAGCAGCAGCACCATCACGAGCAGCAACACCACCACCGCCCGCACGAGCGCCGACACAACGTGTACGAGGCGCCCGCTGCTGTTACGGGCGACAAGACAGACAAGAGCAGGCAGCGGCCAGGGGAATACCACCTCGAACACCACCACCGGGCAGTGGAGGTGGAGGTGTGATGTGTGTGTGTGTGTGTGTGTGTGTGTGTGTGTGTGTGTGTGTGTGTGTGTGTGTGTGTGTGTATGTGCGTGTGTGTCATGAAAGGTGGGTGGGAACCGTGCTGCATTGACCACATGGCGCAAACAGGTGAAAAAGCACAGGCGAAACACGAACCTCCATCGTGTTTTGTCGCATGATAGCGGGCCGTGTTGTCGAGGATGCACACGCCAGAGACATTGGTGGACGTCACTGCATGTTCACAGAATGTTGTGAGTGGCAAGGGGAAGAGCGGATGCAAACCACACTTGCAAGCAACACACACACACACACACACACACACACACACACACACACACACACACACACACACACACACACACACACACAAACACACAAACACGCAAGCCCACCTGTTGGTGTATGTGCAGTGGCATAAACCGTCTCTTCTGTGTCTCCGCGCGCTGTTTGAGATGTCATATGACGGGAAATGAGAGCGTGCGTGCGTGCGAAAAAAAAAAAAAAACTGTGGCTGGAGTGATACGCCTTCCCCACCCGCAACACCGCTTCCATCCATCATCACTCCACTACCACGACAAGTGTTTTGGTGCGGTGCATGCCTGGAACAACATATTCGCCAGCAGCGTCCAGCCCTGAGAAAAGGAGTGGACAGCACATGAGGTGTGAGGGCATGTGATGCGCCCGTTTCGAATGCACAGCGCAGCAGCAACAAGTGGGAGATTACACGTCAGAATCGGCAGCCTTGTCACGCATCACCACAAACACACCAGACAGCGACGCAGGTGTCATATCCGTGTACACCGGCTGCTCTTGGTTCACATCGGCAGTGCCGGCTGCGTGGTTGTGTGCGAGTGTGTGTATGTGTGTATGTGTGTGTGTGTGTGTGTGTTTGGGGGAGGGGTTGTTAGCTCACACACACACACGCACACACACACACAAACACAAACAAACACACAGACTCACGTATTGCGAAGCCCACGACTTCCTCTGCTTTGTCGTCGCCTTCAACTCCCTGTGAAACCTCGATATAGTTTCCATCCTCGTCGTCATCAGCGCAGTTCCCGGCGATGGTGTGACTGGCACCTTCATGCAGTTGCTCGTGAATGAATGAGTGTTTGTGTGCGTGTGTGTGTGTGTACGGAGTCACTTCAGGTCAAGGCGTTCTCGTTCTCACCGAGTGTGTCATAGTGGACGCTGTTGGTCTTCGCGGTGTGCGTGCGAGTGCGTAATCCTGAACATGAACACGAACGGCGCACATACAGACAGACACACACACACACACACACACACACACACACACACACACACACACACACACAAATGCATGCATGCGCATACACGCACATATTCACACAGGCGTGAGATTTGCACGAGCTGCCAGCAGCTTAGGGTTTGTGAGGGCACGCACTAGCACACGTGCGTACATATGCTCATACATACAAACGCACAACCACATGCACGCACACACACACATGTACAAACACACACACACACCCCCCAACACGCGCGTGTGCACTGACGAAGTGTGTTGTAGTGTGATTCTGCATCTGAGCTTGATTCATCGATCATGGCTTCTTGTCCCATCACGTCTGCATTCCATGAGCGCAAGACAGTGCGTGCGTTACTCAGCAACGACATGCGCATCGCTGACATCGAGAGTGAAGGCGCGTGTTGACCTGCAACCGCACATCACATACACAGACACAGACACACAGGCACACATACACACACACACTCACACAGCCATAGACACACACACAGACATAGACACACACATACACACACACAGACATGGTCTTACGTGTTGGCATGTGCAGCGGGTTGAAGTTCATAGTGATGGGCGACTCTTCATACGCCGGGTTTCGCTGCAAACGGCAAACGCTCGATCCCACCACCCCTTCCGCTGCTGTTGGTGTAGTTGTCGTCGCTGCTGCTGTTGGTGATGGGGGCAATGTGTGCACCGTTGATTTGGCACCAGCCATGCGTCGACGAAGAACGATAACAACGGCGGTCTGCGAAGTAGGCGTGTGGGTGGGAAGGTGAAGTTGGAAGTGAGGGTGTGGGTGCAAATTTGCATGGGTCGGTGTATGCATCATGTGTAGGTGCAGGCATGTGAGATTGTACACGTATATGCATGCAGCAAGTGTGTGCATGTGTGCACGTGTGATTGTGCAACTGCACGTGTGCATGGGTGCACGCGTGCATGGGTGTGTGTGTGAGTGAAAAAGAGACAGGATTCACCAACGCACACAAGGTTGGCTTCTCACCACGATGCAAACGAAGGCCACAGCTCCAGCTGCGCCAGCAATCACCGCAGCGGACTGTGACGACGACGATGACGATGATGAGGAGGGTGGCTGGTACGGGTAAGTGGTCATGTTTCCCACGCGGCTGAAGAGCACACATGTGCCGTTGAGGGTGTGGAGGTTGCGCAGGCAGTCTCGAAGGAACTGCAAATCCCGCCATGCCGCCGACATTGCATTCATGCGAACGCCAACTTCAAAGAGCACCGATCCCGCAGGAAAGGCAGTCTTACCGCCGCTGCTGCTGCTTGCGTCACTGATATCGCTGCTGGTGGTGGTGGTGGTGGTGGCGGGATCTGTGGCTGAAAGGATGACGGCGGTGTTGGCGTTGAGTTCCAACGTCTGCTCGAGCTCACGCTCCAACATCTGCAATGGCGCGCGTGGACGCGTCTCCACCGCCACCGCCAGCACCCGCCGCTTCCTCGCCGGAGGCACCAGCGGGTCAATCACAAGCGTGATGCCAACAGCTTGCGTGTTCCCGCTGTTGTCGCGTGCGCGTATGCGAACCGGATGCGCACCGGGCACGTGCGTGTCGATGGGAGGTGAGGTCGGCAGCACAACGACGGCGAGTGACGACACGTCACCGTCCACAGCATCAACGACACGGATGTCCACGCGCACACGCCGTACCGCGTCGCTGCCAAACAGCACATGCACGCGTTGACCAGTCCGTGGCGTCTCGATCACGGGCGGTGTCGTGTCGACGATGACGACAGTAAAGCCTTCAATGGCAGTGTTGCCGGCAGCATCGCGAACGCTGTAGCTGACGCGAACACTCGCACCGGCGGGGCCAGCAGCAGCCACAGCCTTTGTCCAGCGTGAGGGGGTGCAACATCACCGCATGGCGCCATGTGAGCAGCAAGTAAACGCAACACACGCCAAACAACCGCGCACACCACACGTACGCACGCGCATACAAGGCAATGCACACGTTCCTGTACATACGCAGCACACACACACGCACACACAAGAGCACGCACACACGCACACAAGGGCACACACATTGGTACAAACGACACACGCGCTTGTGTCAACAAACGCATGAAAAACTGACCACTGGAGTGTCTGTGCGGCTGATGCTGGCTGGTGGGATGGCGCCATCGAGGGCGTCGGCGGCAGTGACAGTCGGATATGGAAACGGGGTTGCCCCCTCGTGCATCACCGTCGTGTTCCACGCAAATGGTGCATCAGCGAACACAGCAGCGAGGACCTTGTGATTCGACACAGCGTCCCATGAGGTGGTGACTTGGAATGAGACGGCGAGCAAACAAGGGAGCCAACAAGAGAGCCAACGTGAATCGCGCACACACACACACACAGACACACACAGACACACACACACACCCGCGCGCGCGCAGACACACACAGACACACACAGACACACACACACACACAGACACACACACACAGACACACACACACACACACACACACACACGCAAACGCAGACACACACACATACTGGCGGCGTTGTGTCGGCGACGATGACAGTGCGCGGTGTTGGCGGGAGGGCGTTGCCTGCTGCATCGGTCACATCCGACCAGTACAGAGCAGAGTACTGGCCAGGCTCGTCCAGCACCACGCCGGAGGTGTCCACGTGTATCGCCGTGGGCAGTGGGGTGATGTCGCCATCAACCGCGTCGTGAACAGCAATGTTTGACACGAGAGTGGCCGGACGAGGGAGGGTGGCGGCCTCCAGCATCAGCGCGGGCGGTGTGAACACGAAGAAAGGTGGCGTGGTGTCCACGACGACGATGATGACGGTGCGTTGCACCACTGTCACTCCATCGCGCATTACGGCGTACGCAATGGTCTGGTCGGCCGATGGGAACGCTGACGCGTGCGGTCATAGTGTGTGTGTGTGTGTGTGCGTGAGTGTGTGCGTGAGTGTGTGAGTGAGTGAGTGAATGCGTGAGTGAGTGAGTGAGTGAGTGTGTGTGTGAGTGTGTGGGTGTGTGAGTGAGTGAGTGAGTGAGAGAAAGAGAGAGAGTGAGTGAGTGAGTGAGTGAGTGAGTGAGTGAGTGAGTGAGTGAGTGAGTGAATGAGTGAGTGAGTGAGTGCCGGTGTGTGTCGAGAAGGGGGCGGGAACTGACGCAAAGCCTGCTGCGAACAGTGGTGTTGAAGTTTTATTGTCTTGTTCGCTGCAATCTGCTCAAACAAACGCACGCACACACAGGCACACACACACACACACACAAACGCTTACCGATGGAGATGCTGTTGGTGGTTGACGTGGCAGGTTGCACAAAGACAATGCTGGTGTTTGGCGGAAGCGATGGCTGCAGCTGTCCTACAGGGGGCACGAATTGGCCGTTTGCATTTGCCTCCACGACAAAGCGGTTGGATGGAATTGTGGATCCGTTGTCCGGTCGAAGCAGCACAATGCGCAGCTCTGGTGTGGTGCGACAACACGGTCAGTGACATTCATCGGGGCATTGTGTGTGTGTGTGTGTGCGTGTGTGAATGCGTGTACGTATGCGTGTGTCTGTGTGTGTCTGTGTGTGTCTGTGTGTGTATGGGTGTATGGGTGTACGTATGCGTGTGTGTGTATGGGTGTACGTGCATGCGTGTGTATGGGTGTATGGGTGTGTGTGTGTGTGTGTGTGTGTGTGTGTGTGTGTGTGTGTGTGTGTGTTCATATTAATGGATGAGGGACGCAAAAATCGGGGCTAGAGACAATGACTGACCTTCACATGCGCGGTCTTGTGTCAATGTACATGGTCGAACTTCGACTTCATCCCCTGCACACGCCCTGCAAGCCTGACATTGCCTGAAACGTGTTCAAGCACATGTTGTTACATTAAACCAACCGGAGCACGCGGAGAACGGTTGCGTGGGTGTCATGCGTGGACGGATGGTGAAACAGGCAAGTTGTGCTCTACCTTGGTGCAACCCCCTTTCCATGCTCGAAACTAACTAACCCCCCCCCCCAAACACACACACACACACACACAACACACACACACACACACACACACACACACACACACACACACACACACACACACACACACACACACACACACACACACACACACACACACACACACACACACACGCCACACACACACACACACCTGTTTGAAGTGGAGGTTGGCGAAGCCAATTCGAATTGCGTAACGTTGCAATGGCGGATTTGGCGACAAACGCGGTCGCTGGTGGCAGTGGATTGCGCAGCCTGCACAAGGATACCAACCCGAGCCAGCAACAAGAGCAGCAGTAACAGCACCACCAGGCGCAGCCAGCGTACCACAACGTATAGGAGTGGCATGACGTGATGAGTCAGGACACAATTGAAGCAACAAGCCCAATACGGACCAGCACGCACAAAGGTGCGTACAACCACACACACACACACACAAACATGAATAAAAGTATGTGCAACCACACACACACACACACACACAATATGCATACACACACACAAACAAACACACACACACACACACATTACGCACCTCATACTCGGTGCTGCCGACGTCACAGGGTACAGATATGTTTGCACACACACGATCATGAAACAGGGTCGGCGGTTGCTGTTCAAACTGAGACGGTGTACACGGCGTCAAAGCGGCGCACACGCGATCAGTGCTGCTTGTGCCGTCGCCCAAGATATATTGCTCGGTCAGCACGGCACACGTGCGCCAGTTGACACACGACCCTGCACCATCCGCGGTGACGTTGCTGAACGTGCCATGTCCACACGCGACACAAACGCGGTCGATTGTCGGCGTTGGCGGCTGCTCCTCGACAAAGCCCGGGCGGCACAATGTTGTGTTGAGGCACATGGTCTGGCCACCAAGCGGCTGGTAGTGTGAGGGTGGCGCACACGGCTGGCAGCTCTGGGATCCCGACGTGCCCGGGGCACACTGCAGCTCCTCGCAGGACCCCGTGTTGGCGGTGGTGTTGGTGATGGCAAACGGGCACGCCATGCAGGCGGTGGTGCCATCTCGGTCGTGGTCGGTGGTTCCCTGTGGGCAAGGGATGCATTCTCGCGGGGAGGTTGGTGTCTCTGGGACTGACTCAAAGTAGCCGGGAAGGCAGCCGCATTGAGCGTCAGATGTGGTGATGCAAGGCGTCACAACGTGCTCGTGCGGACCAGCGCATGTCGTTGTGCATGCCTGGCACACACGGTCCGTGGTGAGGCCGCATGCACACAGCTCAAACTCAAGCCCATCCACGCACCGCGTGCACGCAGTGCAGGTGGCCGCTGTTGTTCTCGTGCACGGTTCCGCGACAAACTGCTCAGCATCCGCGCAGGCGTCACAGCAGAGGGTGTCTGACGTTGACGTGCACGGCGTCGCCTCAAACTGAGACTGTGCCTCGCATGAGGTGCAGGGCTCACACGCGACGCTCGACGAGCCACAAGCGTCCACGTATGCTCCGGGCTCACACGCGGTTGCGCAGTTCACGCACACGGTGTCCTGTTCTGGCATGCAAGGGGACGCTTTAAAGTGGAAGTGGTCGCACACGGTGCATGGCCCACACACGAATCCGCTCGGGCTTGTGCCGCTTGTGTCCACCGTCCTGGTCAGGCCATCCCTGCACTCGCAGCCGGCCGGAAAGCCCTCCACAAACGCCTCGTCCACGCACAGGCAAGCGTGGTCCGTGTGGGGACAGCCCGTTTCGCCGGACACCTCGTACGACACGTCATTGCACGGGTTGTCTGTGCAGTAGAAATTGGGCTTAAAGTCCTGAGCCGCGCACTGGTGGCGGCTGCCCGCCATCACTGCCACCATCAGCACCACTGTCATGGCCACTATGGCACCAGCGCAACGCGATGGCAGGCGCAAGTGCGCGCGTGGGTGCAAGCGCGGGTGTGGGTGCATTTCAGCTGTTGGTGCTGCCGGTGCTGCTGCTGCTGCTGGTGCTGCTGGTGTTGCCCGGCACTCACCCGCCATTTGACGTGTGCGTGTGCATCAGATCAGAGAAGCCAGGGTAAAGGGGAAAATGCACGCCGAGGTTTGTGGTCGATGAGGCAAACAGTGCTTGTGTCAATGTCAGTTGGTAGACCAGTCAACGCAAGCAGACCTCGAAGAACGGTAGCAGCTGCAGCGGTGAGGAGAGGGGATGATGCGACCATGACGGCGGTTGCCGTCACAGTGAAGTCATTGTGTGGTGGTGGCTGTTGAGCTCGCGTTGCTTGTTGTTGTTGTCCTTGTTCGTTTGCTTGTGGTTGGGAGGAAAATTGGTGAAAACCTTCAACGGCTTTTCTACAATCACAACAAACAAGCGAAGGAGAAAGCGCTCCGCACTCGCTGTCCTACATCCAGCAAAGCAGCAAGCAAGAAGCCATCCCTCCATCCATCCGCTCCCCTGTTTCACTTGTTTCAGTCCTGGCGATGCGGGCAGAGTGGGCACTGGTTGCTGAACACCTGCTGTTGCTGGCAGATCGAAGAGATCGCCTGCATGCATCGTCCTCATCCGGTTCCAGTGCATTTGCTGCGACGAGCGCTGACGAAGAGGATGTTGCCGTTGCTGCGGTTGTGCAGGGTGATGTTCATGACCCCCGCAACACACACACACACACACACACACACACATGGCACGCCACAAGGGGCCGACTTGCTGTTCTCCACACGATCATGGGTAAGGCCATGGGCGCCATCTGCTGCGAGATGAAGGAGCGTCACTCTCCGTTCCACGTCGGCGACGTCAAGTACCATCTCGGCTTGGTGCGCAGTGTGGTGTCGTGCCAAGCGCACGCAGGCTGTGTGTATTTGGGGAGTGCCTTGGGTGCTGAATGTGTGTGCGTGTACGTGCGTGTGTATGTGAGCAGGTGTTCAT